TATTTTTCCCTTGCTAACAATAAACTCTGCTTTTGTTAATCTTTAATAATTGTAATTTAAACCCTTTCTTGATTAAGTGCGCCAAAAAATAGGCCATTTAATATGCAAATTTAAGCATTTCTAAGCCAGTTTTCTAACGGTAGCGTTGCAATTTCTTGCTAAAATCACTGAAAATAAACGTTTTCTTTCCACTTTTCCTACTATTTCTCCAATGCTCGGACCATTATTTATGTTCTTAACATAAATTAAGAGTAATTTATGCTTAAATTTACTTGGAATTTAGTCTTTTTACCAAATAACTGCCGAATTCCTAAAAGAGTTTTTTTTTCAATTTCGCTTGTTTAATGAGAAAGTAAGCTTACTATTTTACAAAAAATAAGCTCTAAAATTACATTTTAAGCTATAAAAGATATTTTTTAACTTTTANTAGTTTTTAATTCATTACAAGGGTAGGCTGAAATGTAATGCACACATGCTTGTAGAACATGAACAAAAGCAAATATCAAGATTGTGAAAAAAGTACATTAAAGTACAATTCTTAAGCTTCAAAATCATATATTTATTTTTTAACATAGTCACCGTTAAGGCTAACACATTTCTCCCAACGTGTAACAAGTTTTTTCATTTCGTCACTGAATAAGTCTTCTGACTTTTCTCGAATTCAGCAGTGGATGAGCATTGTCATGTTGCAAGATTATTGGCGCCAGGTGATTATTTGATGTGTTAGAGGCAGCCTGGCGCCAATAATCTTACAACATGACAATGCTCGTCCACACACCTAGCACGCAACTGGAGAGGCTCTGTGAAACCTGAAGTTTGAACTGATTCCATGCCCTCCTTATTTCCCCAATCTTTCGTCTTGCAATTTTTATTTTTTTTCCTCTACTCAGGAGAGACCTCAAGGGTAATTATTACACCTCGGACGGTGAGGTAAAGGCAGCTGTCAAGTCCTGGATTCGAGAAAAATCAGAAGACTTTTTCAGTGACGGAATGAAAAAACTTGTTACACGTTGGGAGAAATGTGTTAGCCTTAACGGTGACTATGTTAAAAAATAAATATATGATTTTGAAGCTTAAGAATTGTACTTTAATGTACTTTTTGCCCGATCTTGATATTTGCTTTTGTTCGTGTTCTACAAGCATGTGTGCATTACGTTTCAGCCTACCATTGTATATACATGTTTGGGTATTGAAGAATAAAATAAAAATGATGCTAATATGTATGCATAGGCAAGGCTATTGGAAATTATTATGAATTTTAGTGGTTTACTTGTATGTAATTGAATATGACAAAATAATAATAATGTTCAAACAGTTTTTAAAATTGTTAAAAAATAAATAAATAAAATAAACTGTTAATGAACCATTTAAGTTAACCATTCAAGTATTCTAGTAATTCATTAGCATTACTAGAATACGTGAATGCATTAACATTGCATTCAAATAATCTTTACAAATTAAAAAAAATAATTCTGCGATGACTGAGGAGAAAAATAAACAATGGTACAATTATACATCAAAGACACACTTTCTTTATTCTCAGGAATTGTCAGATACAAACAAATCTTCCCTCTGCATAAACTGCTGACTTAATACTTGAATGGTCTCTTAAGTATATAACAAGTGAAACATTTAAATTTGAAATGGACAAAAAGCTTAAAACATGCTTTTGTAAAGTTTTCTTTTGTATTTTTAAATTAAATTTTAATAAAATACTTGTGTATTGTTTTGTGTCCGCGATGAAAATTGTTCTAAAGAATCTCCTAACCAATATTCGGGGTTAGTTCACATCTGTTATATGTCTTGGTAATTTGTTAATGAAGTGCAGCTTGCCAAATATCGAACTTTTAAGATGAATGAATATCATTAAAGCTCATATAAACACAAAGAAATTTGGCAAAATTACAAAAATTAACTCATCTTCCCTCTCTCTCTCTGCCTCTCTTTCTCCTCTCTCTTGCTCTTGCTCTTCCTCCTCTCTCGCTCTTTCTATATTAATTTATAAGCAAATTTTGTATTTTTGACTCATTTTTTTGTGTTATTTTTACTCGAGTGATGCTCTAAAAATTCGATAAAGTAATAATGTATTTAATTTATAATTTTTTAAAGGGAAATGTCTGAAATTTCATTTTTGGCTCTTCTAAAAACATAAACATAACAAGTTTTAAATAAAATAAATAGAAAATATTTTAAGAAATTACTTTAAAATCATTTATATATTAAACGATAAACGTTTTAAGTCATAATTTCTTATATTTATAAAGAAAAAATTGAGTCAAAACAGAATTTTTCCTTACATAAAGGCTCGGAGATAGAAGGATATCAGCGACTTTTAACGTCTTAAAATTGAAAATAAACCGTTTCTTTGCATAATTTATAGTTTTATTTTTAAATTAACACATCTACATTTAGTTTCTATTAATTAATAAACAGTTAAAATGTTTAATTCACATAAAAATTTGCTAAATTTTAGTTAATACTTTTTATTTGTATGCCTGCGGACAACGATACTTTTCGAACCTTATCTCTATTCGAAGTTCATGAGGATCATCATAATATTTTAAAAAATACACTTCGTAATGGTTTGTAGATCGCGGTCTATTGATTGAAAAGCTTTAGTTTAAATATATAATACATTTAAAGCTAGAAAGGAGATAGAACAAAGCCCAACTTAGAGTGAAATCTGATTATCTTTACTTAATGCAATAGGTTCGTTTAAAACTGTTTTAAACATGTAAATATATTAAAATTTTAAAGTTTTTATTCATTAAACATTAATAAACAAGTTAATTTAATAGATTTTTAAGTTGTTTTGCTTCTAAATTTACTTTTAAACACTATAAAATTCGTTTTTGATTTACTCGAGAGACGGTCATAAAAAAGAAGTGATTTTTCGTTAATAAATTATTTAAAAATGTATAACATAATTAATATTTTATATATATAAAAAATATATATATTATTTAATAAATATTCGATTTAAAAAATCATAATTTACTATAGTTTTAGTATTAGTTAAGTTGGCGATCAACTATCGAATGGTTCTATATGCGAATTTTGATGTGAGCTAGATAAGTACGTGGACCTTTTTCTCTCCCCTATTTAGTTCCCAAAATTCTCTTCTTAGGTCCCATCATTCCAGTTAACGAGGGTAGATAAGTTGGATTCGTCTTCTCTTATCTCTCTTCGCATAGGCCCTATCAAGTCCATTCCATCATCAGGAGCATCCTCTTTTCATGGAGTGGCCGTTCAGGATCTTTTTTCTCCTCCATCCCAACCAATCGTATGACAGTGATTCGGATGGTCGTTTTACTTCCGGGCAATTTGACCCTTCTTCCTATTGTATAGACTTCAGTGATACAAAAAAATCTTTCTATATATATATATATATATACGTATATACACTTTTTTGTTGGTTTGTAAAGGTGTAAAAGGTGTCATTTTTTTGGATTGAAGTAGCTAGGAAAGTGCTTTTTTTTAAAGATATTTGTGGATAAATTGAGATTTTCTTTATATTTATTAAATGTCAGGCCTTTATTTATTGTTTAGTGACGTGTATAGCCTTTAAATTAAGGTCATAGCATTGTCTTAGTCAATTGAAAGTCTAGGCTAAATTTTGAGAGAAATCTCAACTTGATTCTTATTTTTAAGTAAAAAATTCTTATAAAAATAAGAAAAACACGATATATTTTTAATCAGCACCTACTTTATTCTTTAAAAATAAGCAGAAATTTATACACAAAACGTCAAAGATTCGACCTAACATCATTCTGATAAGATTTGAAATTTAGAGAAGAAAATTAATTTTAAATACATGAAAAATTATCTAGAACTTTAAAAGAATAAATTTATTATAAAACAGACACAATTTCTAACTGAAAATAATTAATTTTAAGGCCTTAAAGACCTTAAAAAAACACACAGCCTTACAGTAGATAAGCCTATATAAAGGGCTACTTTTAGACATTATTTTTAAAATTATTTAGCTTATAAAAACATATTTATAAGCTTTATAATATTAAAAACAATAAGAAATATTTTAAATTATATTTAAATTTATA